GCGCGACGGGAGGAGGTTGTTGATCCACTTCTCCATGTCCTGGAGCTTGATGTCGAAGCGGGGCGAGATGACACCGCACTTGTTGATGCGGCCGCGGAGCTCGACGACGATCTTGCCGGCGCGGTGGTCGTCGACGATCTCGAATTCGCCAATGTAGCCGTTCTTCTGCATGCACTGGAGGAACTTGACGATGACCTTGGACGACGGGCGGATCAACACCTGGCGCTTGCCGCGCTTTTCGGCGTTGTACATCGTCTTAAGACAATCGGCGAGGACGGACATGCGGACCATGCTACATAGATGAGGATTAGCCCTCCAGTTCGAAAAACAAGGTCGGGGGTCGCGCGACCGCCCGCCTCCATAGATTGCCCCGCGGCGCATGCCATGGTACGTAGCCCATGCCATTGGCCGCGGAGCATCTCTTCTGCCCGTGGCAGGAGTCGCATGCAGACGTACGTGGAAGACTTGTTGAAAGGGAATTCAAAAATGAACCACTCGCAGCGACTGGCCACGCGCTCATTGGTCGTGGATCACCAGCAATTCCAGTCCGCGTCTGATTGGCTGTAAATATATATATTCTCACAGGTTTTGGAAACTCTCACAACCCATATTTCACCACACTGGAGAATTGTATACCGAGTTGGCGCGCAACCCAGCAGCTTCGACCACGAAGCGCGCGGAAGCAGGTCGACAGAACGGGTACCAAGCTACTAGTACAATAGGACCTGCAGCTCTACGCTCTTCTTCTGGTATTTCGGATGCAAACGACTGGCAATGGACGTCGCGATAGAGAGGTCGCTCGCGTCTGGACCTGCAATTGGACTTGATCTTGTGCTCCGCTAGTGACGCGGGCTCTAGTAAGAATCTTGTCAGGCGGTGTATTACCGGGATTACCACTATGGGTTTCTAGTAAGTTTCTATTCGACTCTTTCTACTGTGATGGCCGAGGCGGCATCTGTGGTTTCATGCACAAGCTCTCGCGGACTGCGAGAGCTTGTGCAAAGTGGACGCGGAGGAGGATGCCCTCCTCGACGCCATCGGCCGGCGGCCGAATCGTGGCCACGGCCTGGCCGTCGCACGTGTACTACGTGGATCCAAACCAGCTTTTGTGAACGACGAGCTACAAGATCTGCGGCTTGGTCGTGTCAGCGTGGTAGGTCGTATGGTAAAAGATCTTTTTCGAGGGTTGCGACCACGGCCTCGTTGGAGTTGACCAGCGAGGCCGAGAGCGCCATTCAAAATATTGTACAAGTCCATTCTTCGTGATGTCACCGCCTCGGCGGTGTTGGGGTGGACGCCCTAGCTGCATCGATACCGTGTCAATCGCAGGCATCAACCGCCCATAAGAAGCGTTGGCTACTGCCCCTTGGTGTCCACTAGTAGCGCAATGTAATTATACACACACAAGGGTCCATAAGCTGTGTCTGGACCCTTGACACACAGCACCGTTTGGCGTGGCAGACTAGGCGGCAACGCTGTGCATACGCTAGTCACGATCGATCGACAACACTATTTACGGTGTATGACACTAAATGGAACGTCTGGTCCCGGGCCCGGCACTTTGTGCTCGCATCCGATTGGCCACGTAATATTTTACAGTCGACATACAAAGACCAAGTGTGCCCCTCGGGCCTCGGGCCAGGACAATCAATATATATTCGAGTCATGGCGTATCACTTTGACCCGTACGCGACGGCCCGCCGGCCCAAGGCCAAGCGCAGCGGGTGGGACGACGAGGTCGAGCAGGACCTGAGCATCTCGCGCAAGTGCGAGCTCGGCCGCTGGATCGAGTGCGGCATCTGCGTCGACAAGGCCGGGAGGCACTCGGTCATCCAGGCCGACGCCGCCTATGGCCTCAAGAAGTGGAAGCGCCACATCAACGGCGCGTGCCACCTCAAGAACGCCGGCCTTGCGCCGCCCGAGCCGCGCCCCGCGCCGATGCTGGACGCGCTGCCCATGGAGCCGCCGACGCTTTTAGAGCCGCCGCCGACGATGCGCTGCCCGGGGCTCTACGGCGGCGACCAAAAGTACCTCGCCTTGATGGTGCAGTACGGCGACATCAAGTCGGAGCGGCTCGAGATCGTTGCGACCATGGGCAGCATCGGCGCCTTCTCCAAGCAGT